GGAGTGTTGTTTGGTACATTGGGGCTGTGACACCAACCGGGTAGGGGCACGGTTTTCCTGGGAGGGGTAGTTACAGTTGTCTTGTGGTGCTCACTTTTGGTTTGGGGGTGTACTTTTTTGTTGGGAGCACTATTCCTCCACTGACACAATGATGGGAGTGCACTTATTCCTTTTTGGTGACTCGTTTTGGTTTGGTGGGGTTGGAGTTCCTCCCACTGGTGCGGGGGGTGAGGGGGCACCATTCCTACACTGACACGTTTTTTTGGGGCAATTTATTCGTGCCACTGATCACCAATGGATTGGGGCACTATTCCTCCTACTGACTGGTAATCCATTGATGGGGCCACTAATGTGATTGCCTCCCCACTGATACCAGTGATGGGGAACTATTCGATACACTGTACAACCAGATATTGGGGCACTATTCCTCCACTGATACCAGTCTCATGACACTAATTCCTCCCACTGACACATTGTTGGGGCATAATTCCTCCCACTCGATACCAAGTGAATGGTACACTTCCGCCTCCCAACCTGACATCAGTGATGGGACACTATTCCTCCCACTGGGACACCCAATGATGGGGCACTGCCGCACGTATTCGCTCCCCACTTGACACCATTACTGGGGCACTATTCCCCCCACTGACACCAATGATGGGGCAATAATTCCCCCCACTGACACCAATGTGGAGGCACTATTGGCCCCCACTTTGAACAACCATAATGGGGCACTATTCCCCCCACTGACACCAATATGGGGCACTATTTCCCCCCACAGACACCAATGATGGGGCACTAATCCCCCCACTGACACCTATGATGGGGCACTATTCCACCCACTGACACCAACGATGGGGCACATATTCCTCCCCACTGACACCAATGTTAGGGGCCTAATTGCCCCCCTGATATCAATGATGGGGCACTATTTTCCTCCCGACTGACCCAATGATGATGGGGGGCCACTATACTCCCACCGATACCAATGATGGGGCACTATTCCCCCACTGACACCAATGATGGGTGCACTATATTCCCCCCAGTGGGAAGGTACACCAATCGAATGGGGAACTATTCCCCCCACTGACACCTATGATGGGGCACTATTCCCTCCCCCCGTACAGCTGCAGCGAGGAATAGGTGCCCAACGATGGGGCACTATTCCTCCCACTGTACACCCATCAACGATGGGGGCACTATACTTCTCCCACTGACACCAGACGATGGGGCCTACTATTCCTCCCACTGAGACCAAGGGGACAAATGATGGGGGCACTATTGCACCCCTTGATACCAATGATGGGGCACTATTCCTCCGCACTGACACCTAAATGATGGGGGCACATGATGTCCTCCCACTGACATCCGAGTATGATGGGGCACTATTCCTCCCACTGATACCAATGATGGTGGCCTAGACTATTCCTACCACTGACACCAATCATGGGGCACTATTCCTACCACTGATACCAATGATGGGGCACTATTTCCTGCCCACATGATCACCAATGATGGGGGCACTATTCCTACCACTGACACCAATGATGGGGCACTATTCCTACCACTGATACCAATGAAGGGGCACTATTCCTCCCATTGACATCAGTGATGGGACACTATTCCTACCACTGACACCAATGATGGGGCACTATTCCTACCACTGATACCAATGATGGGGCACTATTCCTCCCACTGACACCAATGACGTGACACTACTCCTCCCACTGCAAAATTACAGTTATGAAGTAGCAACGAAAATAATTTTATGATTGGGGGGTCACCACAACATGAGGAACTGTTTTAAGGGGTCTGCGGCATTAGAAAGGTTGAGAACCACTGGTCTAGGCGTATGATTCTCACTTCCAGGTGCGAGAAAGGTCCCGGGTTCAAATCCCGGATGCAGCCCAAGCTTTAGGCAGATGGCCCTGAGTTCCCATTTTCCTTCTTGGTCGCAGCCAAGGTTTCTTTTATGCATACAAGGGAGAGGTGCAGCGCTAACTAAATGAATAAATATACTTATATACTTGATAAATATAAATATAAATCAGTAAAAAGTGCTATTAAAGTGCAAAACGGTGACAAAATGATGGATATAGTCCATATCGTGCTCAGAATCCAAGAGAGTCCTTTAAGAGCTCCAATCCCTGGATTCGTGGATGAGGTGATAAAAGTAAAAATTGCGCACTCACCAAATGCGCAATCAAATGCGCATTCAAAGCTGATATTCCAAGGTCCTCATATGGATCTGGTCAGATCTGGTCATGGAAAGCCCTCTGTCACCTGGTAGTGTATTCCAACACATAGAAAAAAGGCCGCTCTGCAGATGTAAAGGACTCTGAGAACACTCAACAGCACGCACCACGTGCTAACGCACCTCCTCAGGTAGATTACTCCGCCTCGGCAGTAAACACGGTTCACAGATCACGGTTCACGTGATTCTGTGAACCGTGTTACTGCTTTGCCGAGGCGGAGTAATCTACCTGAGGAGGTGCGTTAGCACAGGTTGGGCGTGCTGTTGAGTGTTCTCAGAGTCCTTTAACATCTGCAGAGCGGCCTTTTCTTCTATGTGTGGAATACACTACCAGGTGACCAGAGGGCTTTCCATGACCAGATCTGACCAGATCCATATGAGGACCTTGGAATATCAGCTTTGAATGCGCATTTGAATTGCGCATTTGTGAGTGCGCAATTTTTACTTTTATCACCTCATCCACGAATCCAGGGATTGGAGCTCTTAAAGGACTCTCTTGGATTCTGAGCACGATATGGACTATATCCATCATTTAGTCACCGTTTTGCACTTAATAGCACATTTTTACTGATTATAATTTATATTTATCAAGTATATAAGTAATATTTATTCATTTAGTTAGCGCTGCACCTCTCCCTTGTATGCATTTTTTTTGAGAAGGTTTCATATGGTACCCTCTTTGGTGTTCAGCTGCTGTTTTCTTCTTCTTTTATTTTAATTTTTGTGATTTTATACTAGTTGTTTAAAGGCGACCTCACTTATTTTGATAAAATTAAGGTTCTTTTATGGCGCGCATGAACTTTTGTAGTGGCCCAGTTGTCATACTGCTCAACCTAGCCTGGGCAGACAGCCCAAGGCAACCAATAGCACTTGGTTCGTTGGTCTAAAGGGATATGATTCTCACTTTGGTGCGAGAGGTCCCAGGTTCAAAATCTCAGAAGAGCCCACAAGGGTGAAGTTTTTCATGAGCCCTCTGGAACTTCATACACACAGACATGGTTTTACCGTAACTTGCACGTACCTACCGGTCAACGTTGTAAGCCCTTCTCACGGCATCGCTCGAGCTACATCCAGATGCTTTTTCACCTTTCTTTGACAAAGTACTTCAAATGGAGCTTGTGGCCTTCTTTCAACATACTTCCTACAATTGAAGTGGGCATAAAGCTGAAATTGCATACCATAGCTTAACCCTTAGTGGCTTTCCGTGTTCACTTTCCACATGACTGCAACAGGTGCTGACGAGCCCCGTTCAGTGCTGAGATTTTTCCAAAGCAGTGTGAAAAGTTGGATCAGCTTACAATTCAATGTCCCAGGGGTGGACCAAGGATTTGCTTTTGTCTTGACTTTAGAAATGCATACTCGACCACGTCTCCAAGTTTCCTAGAGCTCTTGACAATAAAAAAATATATATTTTTTTTGGGCAAAATATGCAGATGGTATTGTAGTGGGGACTTAGCCTTGGCACTCAAAAGCAGTTGTTCTACTCAAAGAAAAAAAAAAAAAAAAAAAAAAAAATCTTGTGTATCCAAGGCTCGTTGGTCTAGGGTATGATTCTCGCTTAGGGTGCGAGAGGTTCCCAGGGGTTCAAATCCTGGACGACGCTCTACGAAGCAAACAACTCAGCAATCTATTGGGAGGAATTGTTCACATGGTGAGCTGAATCCATACAAGCAACTGTGCTAGCGGTAGCCAAGAGTGCTTAAAGGCTCTTGCATTTCCAAAATGGTGCAACGGCTACTTCTGTGACATGGCAAGATGTGGCTCTTTGGATTCTGCCTCTTTAGTCTAGGGGCTAAAGAGGCAAGAACCCTTTGGGCATGGTGAGCTCCAAGCCAACAATACCAATGAGTTGGGGGGGGGGGGGGGGGGGGGCATGTGTGTGTGTGTGGTCTCCAGAGCCTAGTCCGCAGCAGAAAGGAGGTTGATGTTTCCCCGACAAAGTTTCGTCTTTGCTTTTGAAATCTTTGTTAGTTCAAGAAAGGCAAAGACTGCAAACTCCGGCGGTTTCATCAAAGGAAGAAGACTTTTTTAGAGGACAAGGCTATTTTTTGTACAAAAATAAAAAAACATTTCCCAGAAAGCTGGCATTCCCTGGCTCGGTTGGTCTAGGCATGCAAGATTCTCGCTTCGGGTGCGAAGCGTCCCGGGTTCATATCCCGGACGAGCCCACAAGGTGCTGGTTTTTTCATCCCTCTGGAAACTCAACAGAACACAGACATGGTTTTACCCGTAACTTGCACGTACCTACCGAGTCAACGTGTAAGCCCTTCTCACGGCAGTCGCTGGGAGCTACATCCAGATGCTTTTTCACCTTTCTTTGACAAAGTACTTCAAATGGAGCTTGTGGCCTTCTTTCAACATACTTCCTACAATTGAAGTGGCATAAAGCTGAAATTGCATCCATAGCTTAGCCCTTAGTAGTGCTTCCGTGTTTCACTTTCCTCATGAACTGCAACAGGTGCTGACGAGCCCCGTTCAGTGCTGAGATTTTCATAGCAGTGTGAAAAGTTGGATCAGCTTTACAATTCAATGCCCAGGGACCAAGGATTTGCTTTGTCTTGACTTTAGAAATGCATGCTGCTGACCTCGTCTCCAAGTTTCCTAGTGCTCTTGACTAGAGATGAGCGAAGTATTCAAAAATTCGATTCGACTGATTCGGCGAATTCGTGGAAAAATTTCGATCGAGTCGAATATATTCGCTGCGAATTTAACTTATAAAAGGGTGTTTCTAGGCTTCAGAGAGACTTTATATTTAGTGCAGAACACATGTACCTTTAAATTAAATGCCCTTGGAGTCTGCTGGGGAAGAGAAAATAATACTGACAGTCAGTATGACATGCAGATGAGTGCCGTCGATCTTAGAATCATCACACACTTCACTCATTGGGCAGTCGACGGGGCCAAAACCAGAGTGTGGAGTCCACAGTGTGTGGCGGTGGATGGCAGCAGCAATGGGAGGCCATAACAGCACCCTATGACAAAATGGAAACCACCAGCAGTGTGAGGAGAAGACCTGAAAGTGGCACATGGCAGAGTTGTGGCGATGGAGACAGCAGCAATGGGAGGCCGTACAGGGACCCATGACACACTCTGGACCTGGCAGAAGCATGAGGAGGCGTACAGGGGCCCATGACAGATTACGGGCCTGGCAGCAGCATGAGGAGTTGGTACGGGGGCCCATGGCAGATTATCGGGCCTGGCAGCAGCAATGGGAGGCCGTACAGGGACCCATGACACACTCTGGACCTGGCAGCAGCATGAGGAGGGGCGGTACAGAGGGCGCAAGACAGATTACGAGCCTGGCAGCAGCAACTTGGACAGGAGGACGTTCAGCTTCTGCAACCGTCGGGTGCGTGCTCGCAAACTGTAGTTGTCTCTTGGAAACGGATTCCAAGAAAGACTGCTGACGGAATCCGTGAAGAGAGGAGGTAGCAGGAGAAGGAGCATCACTGAACGAGCGGAATATGCCAACAAGCGACAACAGGGGCCTGGCAGCAGCATGAGGAGTCGGTAACGGGGGCCCATAGCAGATTAGGGGGCCCTGGCAGCAGCTATGGGAGGCCCGTAATCTGCCAGCACCCTATGACAAAAATGGAACACACCAGCAGTGTGAGGTGACCTGAAAGTGGTATATGGCAGAGTGTGGCGATGGAGACAGCAGCAATGGGAGGCCGTACAGGGACCCATGAGAGACTCTGGAAACCTGGCAGCAGCATGAGGAGGCGGTATAGGGCCCATGGCAGATTAGGGGCCTGGCAGCAGCTATGAGGAGGCCCGTAATCTGCCAGCACCCTATGTCAAAAAATTCAACACACCAGCAGTGTGAGGAACTCTGTATCAGTGGCACACGGCATGAGACACTGTGGACCTGGCAGCAGCATGAGGAGGCGGTACAGGGGCCCCATGGCAGATTAGGGGGCCTTGGCCTCAGCTATACGGGAGGCCCGTAATCTGACTGCCAGCACCCAAGTATTGTGTGGTGCGCCCCGTAATGTGTTTTTTTACAAAAAATGGAAACACACCAGCAGTGTGAGGAGACCTGAAAGTGGCACATGTTTGGGGCATGGATACATGGCGGCAATTTAGTCCAGTTTGTGTCATGGGAACCACTGGGTGGTTTGAAATCCCAGACTAATCCACGCCTGATTCATTTTCACAAACGTGAGTCTCTCTTCCACACTTTGGGTGGACAGTCGTGTCCTCCGCGGTGTTGCAACATACCTCCTGCCGCACTAAACACGCGCTTCCGATGCCACGCTACGAACTGGCCGGGCATGACAGCAGCCCTTTCAAAGGGCAAATTCAGCTAGTTGGGGCCTAAAGGTCAAGTTTCATTGCGCCAGTAGTCAAATTGGGATTGTCCTACACCTCGGTTGGGCAGGGTGCTGTCCAAGTAGGCCTAAGCCTGTTGTTTGAGGTCCTGCTCCAGGATTCCACCTGATGCATGCTTGCTGCTCGCGGCTGGTTAGTAGTTTCCTCACTGGCGCTGGTGAAGAAAGCTACTCATCATCGAACTGCAGACTGAGGCAGCTGCTGCTGGTGGAGCTGCCACTGCTCCTACCACCCACCACCCCTCCCCTGCTGCCATGGCAGCGGAAACGGGAGCTCGAGCGCATCAGGGCCCACAGTGTCTGAGGATGGACGTGTGGCGGCAGACAGGCAGAGACCACCTGACTACATAGGTGCGTTTTTATAGCCCAACGTTTACGATTTTGGCCTCCAGACTCATGCAGGTGTCGTAAAAGTGGCCACCAATTATGAACTGGTTACGCGAGGGCTTTCCAACAAGGTGGACAGCCAACAATCCAAAAGTCATCCCAACCTGTCTGATGGTTATTATTCGCTGTCGTACGCAAGCAAGCGAGCATGCTATGGGCCATTTGTGCCAAGACAATGCGTATCGGGAGGCCGTGCCGGACCCATGCCATCTCTCCACAGCATACTGCCACGGTGCGTCTGGGGTCCTCTGTCTCCTACTTCCTCCTTCCTCTACCAGATGCTCTTGCTCCTCCAACTCCTGTCACGCTGAGTGGAAAAACCACCCATTTCACTCAATAATTCCTGAGCCACCTGAATGTCCTCCTTCTACCTCCTCCTCTTTATTCCTGTCCTGCCCCCAACCAGGGCGTCATGTGGCGTGCGATCTGTGCGCACACGTCTGGACCTGGCAGCCCTGACCAGGCATGTATACAGGCAGCCCATTGTGTTCCAGGACTGCTGCAACAGTTGGAATGACGTCTTTCATCAAATAGTTCCTGGCCGACTCATTGAATAGCGTGGCCATCCTCCAAGTTGCCTGAGCAAGCGCAGGTGTCAGCCTGAGCTGCCCAATGGGCTGACATCCTAAGTTGAGCACACAAGGATTACCTTAATTCAGCGTGAATATCACCTGAAAAGTTGCGCCATGGCAGAGCCGTTGCGGATGGAAGACAGGAGGCTGTCAATTGGACACCCGTACAGACATGAATCCAACTCCAGTGTTTGCACCTCACAGCAAGCCTGATGGGAAGAGTTCGGTACCACGTGTCCCATTAACAGATTATACGGGCCTGGCAGCAGCAATGGGAGGCCGGTAATCTGCCAGCACCCTATTTCAAAAAATCAACACAGCGCCCAGCAGTGGTGGAGGAGACCTGAAAGTGTCACATTGCAAGTGTGGGCGATGGTATACAGCAGCAATGGGAGGCCGTAACAGGGGCCCATGAGAGACTCTGGAAACCCGGCAGCAGCATGAAAGGGGGCGGTAAAAGGGGCCCAAGGGAGATTAGGGGGGGCCCGGCAGCAGCTATGGGGGGCCCTTTAAACTGCCAGCAAACCCTTTTGGGCCCAAAAAAATTTTAAACACACCAGCAGTGTGAGGAGACCTGAAAATGGCACAATGGCAAAAGTGTGGGGATGGGGACCCGCAACAAAGGGAAAGGGCCCAAAAGGGACCCAAAGACAGACTCTGGACCGGCAGAACATGAGGAAGGGGGAAAAGGGCCCCTGGCAGATTAGGGGCCCCCGGGAGCAGCTAAAGGGAAGGGCCCCTAATCTGCCCGCACCCATGGGCAAAAAAAAAATTTTAACACACCACAGTGTGAGGGAACCTCAAAGTGGCACCTGGCAAAGAGACACTTTAGGACCCAGGGAGCATGGGAGGCGACAGGGGCCCAAAGGCAGATTTTGGGGGCCCCGGCAGCAGCTATGGGAGGCCCGTAAACTTTCCACACCCTATGTCAAAAAAATTTAAAAAACACCAACATTGGTGAGGAGACCTGAAAATGGCCCCATGGCAGAGTGGGGCGATGGAGACAAACAGCAAAAGGGAGGCCCCTACAGGTACCCTGAGAGACTCTGGATCGGGGAAACATGAGAGGGGGGTATAAAAGGGGGCCCCGGCAGATTAGGGGGCCCGGCAGCACAAAAGGGGGGGCCCGTAAACTGCCCCCCACCCAAGTCAAAAAATTTTTAACACACCACAGTGTGAGGAGGGCCTGAAAGTGGGCCCCTGGCAGAGGGGTGGGGGATGGAGACACAGCAAAGGGAGGCCCGTACCGGGGCCCCTGACAGACTCTGGACCTGGCAGCAGCATGAGGAGGCGGGAAAAGGGGCCCAAGGGAGATTAGGGGGGCCCGGGAGCAGCTATCCCCCTTAAATTTTTTTCACCCTTTAAAAAAAAAAAAACCAAGCCCTTTAGGGGAATTTAAAGGGGACATGGGTA